AGACTTGCATTATAAAATTTAATAAAGGGTCTTTAAGCTATCTGAGTATGCTTGCATGTATTCTGTAGGCAACATACTCTGATGGCTTTCTAAGGCCAGCTCCAGATATGCTAGAAACTGTTTAAGGGAGCTTTGAATTTCTGTTTTCTCCTTTGTGGTCTTTTTTTTTTTTTTAGGAAAGAGTAAGATTAACCTTTTCCTAAATTCCTTACACCAATAGCACGCAATAGCCTGCGTGCTATTGACAGCAGCTCCCCCACTCTCCCCCCATCCCCCCAACATTCCTGTTTTTCCTTAATGAAAAGCGCCCCAGCAAGAGAACCTGCTCTGATTTGTATAGATAACATCCCGATACTCCCAAAGGAAAAGAAGTCACCTCTTCCCGGGGAAGGCCTTCTCATCCTATCTTACTCCGTTACCCACCTACAACACTCTCTTCGGGCTCAGGGTCCGGTTCGCTCCCAGGCAAAGGCACAGGGAGGAGCGACTGATGCCGCGCGTCCCTCCTTCACGGTGATACGGGGCGGAACCGGATGTCTCTAGCGCGCCCTCGGCGGGGAGGGACGAGCGCGCGGCGCGCGCAGCCTTCACAAGTGGCCAGATGTGGGCGGGGTCGCCATTACCACCAGGGGCCGCTAGAGCGACAGCAAAAAAGATGCTAGTTTTAAATTAACGGGATAATAGCAGGTTTTAAGTTTGACCGGAAATTCTGGTTCTCTCCCGCGCTGCTTGTGTTATCTACATTTGAATTCCTTCCTCCGCTGTTTTCCAGAGGCAAGAATTTCTGTTTCAGCTGCAAACAATCAGGAGCCTGCGTGCTATTAACGTCCTTTGAGAACGGTTTCTGTTATTCCCTTCTTCCGAGAGACATTAAAAAAAACCCTGCACAAACCTCATTTCCGGTTCTGATCAGGATTTTTTTCATATCTGGGCAGGCAAAATGGAATTATTCTTGAAACCGTAATTCTAATCAATTTAAAGACCTCTATCTTTGTAGTGCTTTGAAATTATCATATCCTGAAATCCTGTAGCTTTACCCGTTCTGTTTATTATCCAAAGGCCTGAGGAAAATACCCCTCAAAATTGAATATTTTATAAATACAAAAACAGATTACAGCATTTTAGAAGTGAAACTCATACAGTAGTGCAATTTTATAAATCCAATTATACTCAGGGTCATTTCAGAATAAACCACAGCAGTCCAGAAATAATTTTTTTTAAAGAAATTGCTATTACCTGCTATTTTTGTAGCTACCTACTTCAAAAGATTCTTCCAGTATGTCCATAATTATTTTTAAAAGTACATTATTCCCTAAAATAGATCAGATTATGAGTGACTTTAACTTTATGGCATGGCTGAGTTTACAGGTGTACCAGAGGAGTTATGAGGGAAAAACAGGATGGAGTGACTCACCCACCTAGAAGGGAAGCATTTGATTCAGGGGACTACCATAGACATCTGTTCATTGAATTGGACCCATCAAGGAGAGAGAAAGCCACCCAAGTTCTACGCAAAGGAAGACATTGCATAATCGTACTCTGTGTATTGCCCTTAGTCTATTTCACTGAAGCTGAAGTGAAGCAAGTGTTAAGGACTCCCAACAAGCATTGGAGTGATGGGAATATAACAGGGTGAGGGAGAAACATGCTTTTTGAGGTATAATTTTGTGAAACATCTTTGTAGGGTGAGTGTGTATTATTAGGAATATTTCCACTTTCCAACCAAATCCTTCAGCATTCACCTTGGGGGGGGGGGATAAGTAAAAGCAACAGGGAGAATGAGATTTGTCTCCCTTTCACTTCTTTTTCTCTTGATATGCCTCTTCCTTGCTTACTTCCATCCATTAGATTTTTGCAGCTTTACCACAATTTTACTGAAATTGGCTCATCTTCATATCCAACTGTTATTGACTCTTTTAATTTCTCTGATTGTGAGGCTAAAAAGGAGAATCAGGTGGACTCTCCGCCTGCAGTTCATAAAGCAACAGGCTGCCAGCTGTCTCTCAGTGCAGACAATTACTAATTGCTAGTAGTTGCTGATTCAGAATATGACCTTGGGAGAGTGCCAAGTCCAAAATCATATTTTAGCTAAAGAAAGGTGAGTGCTGGAGATGGCATAACACTTTATGAAGTGGCATTATATGGCTTTATCAGGTTATATCCAAACTGCTCAAGACCTGCCTCTTTGCTCCCTGCTCCCTAACTGTTCATTCAAGTTTCTCCTGCTGCTTACCATGGGACTTAATTGACTTCTGTGGAACTATTTGGTGCTCAACCTATAAACTGGTTTAAATTTTCTTTCACCATTTCTGCTTCCAAAACCTGGCTAGCAGATTGTAGAAATGGCATAATTATGAGGAAAATAACTCAATTTATTTTCTTTACCTCTAAATAACTAGACCTTTCTGTATATCAACATTTGCACACTAATAAGCACACTAATAAAGTTTCTCAAGTGTAACTGCCATGCTTTCTGTGTGCACTAGTCCAAGACACAGATAATAACATCCACTAGCTATGGCACAAAAATGTCCCATTTGCCAATTTTAAAGGACATCTCAAGATGCAACCTTTGTCTCACTAGCAGTCACCAATTACAGAGGTCACCTAAAATTGTATTTATCTGTTCCAGTTTTTTTTAAAAAAAATTGTTTTCCACACTGTAAAGGCAGCTATTCTATTTAATTGTACTTGCTTTAAAATAACATTTTCTCTCTTTCCCTACCACTTTTTTTGCAACTCTTTGCTTATATCATTTATAACTTCATACACCATCTTTTGTTCCTTAAAATTCTCACCTCTAGCCAATCATTTAGTTTTCTCCTTTCTCTGAACCCATAATTTTATTGCTTTACCAGACACATTTCCTAATTAACTTATTTCTATTTCATTTTAATGTAGTGTTTTTGATATATTCAACTTTCAATTACAAATAAAAATATACTGCTATACAGAAGATTCTTATGCACTCCCATTTCCCTTTGTTTCAACATTCATTCCTAGCAACAAACTACATAGTACTCACTCTGTTCTACCAAATTAACGTATCTAGATATTTCCTTATTGAGGATAAACAATTCACTTACTTTGCGCTTTTCCATTCTGCCTGCAAGAGAAGAGCTGACTAGAAAATGGCTAGCACCTGTACTGCTGCTGTCCTTTTTAAACTCTTTCCCTAGCGAGCACTGTAACTTTATCTAGAAAAGTGGCGCTGAGAAACAGCTGGTGTGATATTGGGAGGGGTGGGAGTAAAGAAGCCTGAAAGTAATAATTTTCTCTAACATATTCGAAGAGTAGTGGGACAGGAGTAGTAGTAGTAAAACTCACAAGGTATAGTTATAGCAATGAAAAAAGTAGTATAGTGACAAATAGCTTGTGAATGTTTTGTGTTGGCTCTTTTGTATTGACCCCACCAAATTGGGTATAATTAAAAGAACCTTTGCTTTACCTCGTAATTTCCTATTTCTACTTCATTTTAGTTTAATGTTTCTGCTGTTTTATTCAACTTTTAATTACAAATAACAATAAACAGAAGCACTTCTTATACAGTTTTCCAGTATTTGAGGGGCTTTCACAGGGAAGATGGAACTAATGTATTCTCCAAGGCAAAAGATGTAGGATGAGAAGTAATGGGTGCAAGCTTCTTAAAGAGAGATCCAACCTAGGATACGTTTTCTGACAGAACAATTTATCTGTGGAATAGCTTACCTCCCAGAATTGTGGGTGCTCCATCACTGGAGGTTTTCAAATATAGACTGGATAACTAAGTGACAGGGATGTTAGGAGGTCTGCCTTGATCAGGGGGTTGGGTTTCCCTTCCAGCCCTATAATTGTGTTCTATTTTCCCTTATTTCAATGTTCATTCCCTGTAACAAATTACATAATATCCACTCCCTTTTATCAGATTGACATATCTAGGTATTTCTTTAGTAAACATTTTTATTGAGGAATACAAGTTAATTTACTTGATAATTTTTCATTATTTCTGTGTAAATTGAAACTCTTCATGTTCCTGTCAAATACAACTACCTTGATTTTTAATACATTAATTTTCAGATTCATATTCTTGTTTCCTCACACAACCTATCTAAAATTAACTACCAATATAATCAGCACTGACATAATTGATCTGCATATTCATACTGGATAAACTAACCTTATTTATATAGGTTACATGGTATAGGGTTTCCTGCCTAGGCAGGGGGTTGGACTAGAAGACCTCCAAGGTCCCTTCCAACTCTGCTAAAAATAAAAAATAAAAATATTTTAGTGTTGTTTCAGTTATAACTATCTCTTATTGCTTCATCATTCTTGAATTGTTTCACATCATTTACAGAGGGTTTTTTTTGGTCTTTTTTGCTTGGACGTTAATATTTATAGTATTTCATCTCTTCGCATGAAAGACATTTTCCCTTCCTCAGAATTGCCCACCAAAATTAATGGAGAATTCAAGATATCATGATTAGTTCAGAGACTGAACTTCAAAATTTTAGTTTTTAACTTTTAAAACCATTTGTCTCCCGTTTTGCACATGGCGTGTCACCTCAATGTTTTAGGGCAACAATTTAAGAATAACATTTTGAGACATGATGCGGGGCTAGTTTGAATTTCTGTTTGCCAGATCGTTATTAAAAATATCCCTTGAATTATAGAAAAGTTCAACCTTCATTGATCTTGTTCCAATGCTTTCCTTCGTAACCAAATATGGAATTCAGAATTTAGTGGCAAAACCGCCCTGCTTTCCATTGGTTTGATTGCATTTTAAGTACTGAATATCTAAAACGATGAAAAACAACGTAAAAGCCTAGTGTTCTGCTTTTTAGAGGGTTGCGCGTTCAGAATTTGACTAAAACTCAGATGCTTTACACCGCATACTACAATCCACTGGGAGAAGATTAGAAAGATCTACTGAAAACGGAAGTTCCGTCTATCAACTACTAGTTTCTATCTCTATGGTGACTACCGTGGTGCCACGTCTTGGCGCAAGCGCATTGGAGTTAATGCTGACGGTTGTTGACGGGGACGTAGTGGGGTATCGCGGCCTAAGGATCTGTGGGACAGCGACCACGGTAACAAGATGAACTTCTTACGGGGCGTCATGGGTGGTCAGAGCCCTGGACCTCAGCCGTCTGGTGCTGATACGGTAAGTTGGACAGTCTGGCAAAGAAAGTCCGGTTTAGGACTCTTTTCTCTGCATGGTGAGTCGTAGGACCCTCTTCCCGGCAAAAGCCCTGCTTCACAGACCCACGTTATCCCCTTAGCAAACTGCGTGGCGATTTCGCTGTTTTTGCAGAGCTTTGACAGAAGCTTTGAGGGTGGATATATCTTCGAAGTAATCCATTTGTGTTGTACCTGTTTCTTTATAATAATACGTAAAAGAGGTTGTGTCCATGTAAGCAAAATATATCACAATGAAACACTGGGGTGATAAAGCCTGGTAAATATTGTATTTAGTACAATAAGTATATCTTTGAAAAACAATGAGCGGATGAGGTCAATTTCAGCCATTTCCATCTATTTTCCTTAATTTGTCACCTTAGCTTCTGTAAGCTGAGGATCAGTGTTGCAGTCACCTCCTTATAAAATATAAATCCCTGTGGGTCTGCAATGTCTTTTTAAAAAATCTAATGTCATTTCAGCAATCAGCCGAAGAAAAGAGCACTTCTATTATTATTAGTTGTTCCTAAGAAATAATTTTATTTTCATTTGTGTCCCCATGTTGATAAATTATGAATATAAAATCATTTATTTACTGAGTTTGTTAAAAACATATAGTACAGTATACATTTTTGCGCAAAAGTTTTTAAATTTATAGATATTGGCAATAAGAACACACAAGACCTGAAAAAATTACTTGAAACATGTATTTAAACATGTTATATCTTTTTGTCCAGCTAAATGGTAGCACCTAGCCAAACTTGGCTACAAAGAAATCTCAGCAAAGTCAACCTTAGTTAGTACCTGAAGCAGAACTACCAACATATATTAGGGCTATACTAAGCTGGAAAAATAAAAATAAAATAAAGATTTAAAAATATATCCTGGAATAAGGTATGTAAAGCAAATCACATCTGTATTCTGCTAAAATAATACATATGTTATATGGTGTGGGAATTGAATTAACGTAGAGGCGAGCATTAACAAATTACTTACCATATTTTCCCCACAGTTGCTGTACCTTGTTTGTATAGTGTCTTCAATAATATGTCATGTTTTGTGTTCAGAAAAAAGTATGATCATTGTGATTTGGTGTGATAGCAAGATACTGGGTTCCATTGGTAATTGGATTTGGATTATTTGCAAAAAAACCTCAACAGTAATTTTTGATTTTCCATTATTTTAACAGCAGTAGCATTCACACCCTACCTTACATTCCCTAATACAACAAATTAAATAGAAATTTGGATAGATAGTTGGTTATACTTTCAATAGGTAGCCTATTGTTCCAGGAAGTACCATTAAGTTTCATCTCAGGCATGTTTATTGAATAGAACCCCTGGATTCTAATTTTTAAAACATATTAGATTTTGTAATTCTAAAATCTTCCAATGCACTTCATAAATCTATTTTACTCTACCTTCGGATTAGGAAAAACAAGGTACTATAAATAAACAATCCCCTGAAATTATATTACAGTTCAGAAAAAAGTATGAGTATTGTGATTTGGTGTGCAGATGAAGAGTGCACTTAACAAGTAGTAAAATAAATAAGCAAATCAGAGAATTTCTTAAAAGATGGATTTTATTTTTTCCCTACATCCTGCCTTTTAATGCAATTCTCTTATATTTTAATATTACATTCACATCTTTCTAAAATATTCTGCACTGAAGAATTGATTAAAGCCTCTTAGACAACACAGCTGTTGACTATACTCTCTAATCCTCTGTAATTATTAAAAAAGCTGCAACACTACTAGAGAACATGTGGTAGGTTCCCCATCCCGGTGCAACGGGGCCGGGCGTCCACTACATGAACGCGCACAACATGCATACATACTTACCACCCATGACGCTCCAGCTGCTCAGCGGAGTGTTGCACAGGCGGCGTACCCTCTGTGTACGGAAGCTCCGAAAACCTCAAATACCGCTAAGGAGGGCGGGTGGGTGGGCCCTCCGGAGCTCCATACCAGAACGGTATCTGGTGCTCCAGCAGGCACCGGTACGCCCGTACCTGGGCATACTGGTCGTAACTCACCACTGATGTAACATGACTTTTAGCTAAATTTTAGTGCATATGTATAAAGGAATACGAGAACGTTTTTAGAGTAAGTTACAAAGAGATAATAGAATAGCGCATAGCTTTTTGTTTTTGTTACTTATTTTTTTTCTTTTTATAACTTGATTTTAAACATAATTAAAAAATAAATAAGCTTGAAACATTTCTCTCAGTTGATCCACCATTTTTGAGTTCCACACAGGATTACTGAACAATAAATTCAGTATGATTGTTGAGTAGAAGAAAATATGCTGTGACCTTTGATAATATTGCTACATCTAAGGCAGAAACAACATTCTGCTTATATTCTGAGCATATTTTGTTGACGAGTTTTTTTCACCAATGTTTCTGCAAAAGAATATTTCTACTTTTCTAAATGTTGAGGTGATAAAAACTTATGGGAGAAGCTGTTCCTGAGTGAGGGAACTCTTTTTGACAAGGGAATTTTTTTCAGTGTATGGGAATCATAGGCTTTCCCTCCATATTAGAAGGGCAAATTCTACCTGGACTAGATGGTTCATAGGTAACAGGGACAAGGAAAGTACTGACAAGTACTATTCAAAAAGCAGTTGTAGTTAATAATGTTTACATTTCACAACAGTTAAGCTTTAAATGGCATTAAACCCATTTTTCCTGGAGAAAAATGTAGGTAAGTTTCAAGTCTCAGAAGAGAAGATGAGTGAAGATAGATTATTTAATTCTTGTTTGTCTGGTAAACTTTCACTGTAATGCCTAGTTGTTTTTACCTGCAAGAAGCAAACATATGCTTATTATGAATTTATTTTCTTAAAATGATTTAGAAATTAAAAAAAAATTGCTTGCTTTTTTTTAAATGTGTTGATTATGATTCTTTTTTTTTTAAATGGAGTAATAAAGCTTAGGATCTAGTGTAAGACTTAACATGTGCATGAAAAGAAAAAGAACCCATTGATAAATAATTCTTCTGATCTGTTTTATAGATTTAGTATGGCTGTCATCATAAACTGGCAAATCCTTTTAAATGCCAGCACAGAGAACTTTGCAGTAAATACATTACAATGGAGGGAAACTAATCAAGGAGAGAAGCAACACAGAATTAAGGAGAAACTTCCTAACAGTGAGAACAATTAACCAGTGGAACAGCTTGCCTTCAGAAGTTGTGGGTGCTTCATCACTGGAGGTTTTTTAAGAAGAGACTAGACAGCCACTTGTCTGAAATGGTATAGGGCCATGATGATGAACCTATGGCACGTGTGGGCACACGTGCCATTGCCAGATGCTCTTCTGGTTTCTGGCGCACAGAGCTGGTCTACATGGGCGCCAGAGCACTGGAAAAAGTCTTGAAAGTGGCCCGGAAAACGGCCAAAAACCAGGCCGTTTTCCAGGCTGTTTTGAGGATGCTTTGGGGCCAAAAAACAGTGTAGAAATGGCCCGAAAAACAACCTGGAAAATGGCCCAGAAAACAGACCGAAAAATGCCCCAAAAGCAGGTATGCGCCCCATGGCCAGTTGGTCTTTGAGTTTCCGGTGTTCTTGCGCACGCATATGCACGCACGTGCAGGTTTAGGTACTCTGTGCCGAAAAGGTTTGCCATTACTGGTATAGAATCTCCTGCTTGAGCAGGAGGTTGGACAAGAAGATCTCCAAGGTTCCTTAAAGCTCTATTCTGAATTGAAAATTGAATTAAAATGAATAAATTTTTGAAGGACTGCTGATATAGTGCTTAAGGTGATATAGAGCAGTGAGTCCCAGGTTTACCCTCTATTATGAAAGCTTACTGTGTGACTTTGGGATAGTCACTCTCTTAGCAATATACCTCATGTTTGTGAAAATAGATTATATATCTCATCTTGGAATTCTTCTAAAAAAGTGAAATTTAAATTTATTAAATAGATACAAGACTATTCCTTGAAAATGAAGAACTAATATCTAATAATCATTTTAGTAATTACTTAATAATTTTAATTAAAACTGCACATTGCTTTAAAACTGCACAATGCTGTACTGTGGTTTTGCACTTCTGTATGAATCCATCTAGCACATAGTTTCAAATGAAGAAGTCCTATTTTTATAAAATTGTATAAATTCATATTCTTTTAAAACTGTAACATGAACTATACCATATTTAATTTTGATTTCAATCTGAGAAAATATGTGAATAAATTTTTCTGAGCTATAAAGGTCTTTGAATTTCAACATCTAAAAATCTTAATTTTTGAATCATTTTATTTCTGTTTAGATTCAAAAATTATGTGATAGAGTGGCATCTTCCACCTTACTTGAGGATCGCAGAGATGCTGTACGTGCCCTTAAATCTCTTTCAAAGGTATATATGTATATATATATATAAATATATTTCTAACAAAATTTCATTTGCACGTGGCATCTAAAGTACCTTTGATAGAACATGATAACATTTAAAAAAAAATACTTGCTCTGTTTTTGACAGAAATATCGTTTGGAAGTGGGAATTCAAGCTATGTCTCATCTTATAAACGTTCTCCAAACAGATCGGTAAGATTTGCCAGATGATTTTAAAATATACGAATAGGATCTTCCAATAATAAAATCTTGAATTATGAAATTGAATTATGATTGTAATGTAAGAAATATACTCATGAGAATCAAATTGATCATTATCTGTCCAGTGTTTTCTGCAATAATGGAGTATAATTCTACTTTAGTATATATAAGAAGCTTCAGAACCTATCAATGTAACTAACAAATTATTTACATGAGAAAATTATTGTGGAATGCATAGGACAGGTGTTTCTTGCTTATTTATCTTTTGTTCAGCAACAATTTGAATAATGAATAATGAAACTTACAACTGGCCTTGAAGTTACAGCCTTTGTAGCAGCACCATGGTCACTTGATTGTAATTCAGGCACTTGGCAACCAGCATGTATTTATGATAGTCACAGCATCCCACAGTAACAATCCTCATTTGTAATCTGCACAGTGACCTTCCAAAAAGGAAAGTGAGTGGGGAAGCAGGCAGGCAGGAAGTCACAAGTCATGATCACATGACATTGTGATTAATGACCACAGTTGATTCGCTTACAACATAGCCAAAACTATCACTCTGCCTTCATAAGTCAGGCACAGAATTGTGATTTTTCTTTTTAGACCATATTATATAGCGCAGAGTTGTCAGTGCCTTTGTAATGTGCAAAGGCTACATGTAGTAGAATTTCTGAATATACTCCTTATCGAGTATTAAATATACTCCAAATCAAGGCTTTGCAATAAGCTTTGAAATGACATCAGAGATTATATAATTATATTATTTGCAATGTTAGTGTTAAATGCAGTTTATTCAATGAGAGTTTGTCCTTTTATTCATAGTTCAGATTCTGAGATAATCGGCTATGCTTTGGATACCCTCTGCAATATCATGTCCAATGATTTGGAAGAGGAAGAACAAGGTTAAGTAGTTGATTTTTAATATGTCCTTAACAAATAGATTTTACTTAATTTTATTTAATTTAGTGATTTTTTTTTAAATTAAAGTGATCTGCTTTAGATATGCAAGTTTTGGCTCAGTTGCTGTCATCTCTACAATGGCCAAAGGAAATGTGATGCATATAAGTCCAGTTTTAAGTTAAAAAAAGGCTTTCTGTATGAACTTGAGGTACTATGACTATTGCAGGGGAAAAAAAGTTATAATTCAGGATTTGATTTCCTCCCTCCTCATTTTTTGCAACATGGCTATTAGATGAGGATATATAGTCCTTCTAACCTTCTCTAGTGCAGCTATAAGGAAGTGAGAAAAGAATAGAGTGTGGTGCCCCAGGCTTATGAAGGCACATTTGTGTTGTTATTGATCATACTTTAGGGTCGCAGCCAAACTAATCCAGTATTTCTTTCCCATTGCAGAAATAATTTTGCTTTAGTCTTTCCTAATTTATGTTTTGGATTTGTATATTTTGTTTTTAATATAGTGTGAGTGAAATGAGCTGCATCTCAAAGCATTGTTTTAAATTTAAGAAGTATATGCTGAAGCCAGTGGTCACAAAAATCAATTTGAATGAGTATAACTCAAAACAAGTAAAGTAATTATGTTGGGATTTCTAAAATTAAAGATTCTCATTTCATTCTAGTTTCAAATTTATTTTGTTTTACTGATAACCATATTTCATTGTGTGTTTGTTTTTATCTTACTTAAAGTTGCCAGTTTTAAATATCCTTGCTGTTTTTTGCTGTTTCATGTTAAAGAAAGTAATTTAAAAAGATTTACAGTACTATGTTGATGCAAAGTATTGGAACTGTTCTTTTATTAAATAGGCCCAATAAGAAAAAAAAATACTATAAATTGCTCAAATGTGCCTATTGGGAGAATACGAGTGTAGTGTATCCTGCATTGGGAGTCAAAATCAACCCAAAGGCAATAATAATCTCAAGAAACCTGGCTATTGCCAAAATCTATTAATTGATAGGCACGCTTTTGGTAGCACAGAAGACAGACATACGGCACCAGAACCAGTAATCCTGGAACTATTAAGATTCCTACAAATGGGATCTCCAGTGTAAGTACTGTGGGAGATTATGAGAATCACTGGAAAGGAAGAAGAGTTCAATAAGTGTGAGGTGAAGCAATACAACCCAGAAATCTTCCCTTATTTGGTTTATTATAAGTCTGCCTGATGACTAACTTTCAAGTTTTATTATTACATTCTTATCCTGCCTAGATGGGTTTGCCATCTACATGGAGCTTGACAAAGGCTGACAACTAATGCATTGTATCAATTGATTGCCACTTTGGGCTATGTCCTGATTGGGTGATGGTCATCCCTAAGAGTGTCAGCATCTTCACTTTCCCAATCATTCAACACTTTCCTTCATGAAATTTACTCTATAATGGGTTCTTAGGTTTTTTGCTGTTACCAAACCTATTTTGGCAGATGCCCAAAAGCATACTCATCTATTATATAGGTAGCCATATTAACTGAAGGTATAAAACGAGGGGTTCTCTCTGTGAAAAAAACATCAAGATGAGATGGTGCTAAGATCAGATCTCTGCTTTATGCCCAATGACAGTTCCAAATTCCACCAAACCCAAGTAATTTATTCCCCCTTCCCATCCTAGATAACAAACCTGCCACAATCTGGATGTCCATGGATTACTTAGAGTTATACTTCAGATATATACCAAATAAGCATTAAGTCTATCACTTATATACTTGAGGTATTTACCAGCAGCAAGTGTGTCAGAGAATATATAGCACAATTCTTCTCTTTAGCATATCTAGTCAGAATGCCAGCAACATCAAAGAATGAGAATTGTTCTATTTATTTTAAGATACTGATCTTGTCTGAACCATCTACACACATTAAATATTATAAGACAGAAAAGTGAGGCTCCACAGATCTATACTGGGTATGCTTTAACATTGAACGAACACTCCCTGAGAATACTAGAGTATCTTGTTTTTTCAGTTCCACCTTCAGTGACCAAGAGTTATGGTTGGATTTAAAGACTTATTGCCTTTCACAGTCAGTGACAGTCCCATCCACTGAAAGATAATTATTCTAGTGGCCAAGGACTGCATAATATAAAGAAGTTATATTATGTCCAATGGTCAGCTGAAATTAGAATGTGTATGTGAAGAGAGGGACTTCATCCACAGGAAAAAAAATCTTAAGCCTTCTCTAACTAGAAGAGTATAAGTAAATATTTTTAGCACCAATTTGTATTCTTCTTTTCAACATTAATTATATAAAATCAATTGTGCTTCTTTGCAAAATTAAATAGAAGTCGCTTTATTTTTTAAAACTTTCTCTTTCTCCCTCCGCTCTTACAGATGATTCTGAAGGTAAAAGAAATGGAGTATATATCAGCATGATGCATTTAGATGTAGTTCTAAGTATTGATTATTCTCAACACTTACCCATTTGAAAAAAGAATGCTATATTTTAAAAATAGTTTTAGTACTTTTTACATGCACACAAGTGTCTGATACAAATGTGACATGTTGGCGTTCATGTTAAGAGTAGTCATGCAATAATTTCAGTTATTATTTGAAAAAAATATGGATGATATTAGATACTGAAGTAAAATAGTTGGGATTTTTTTTGCTTAAAGAGCTTTCAATTAATATGCTGTTTAGAAATAATTGCTACAGGCAATTATTATTCCTTGAACAATTTATAGGAGCAAATGGACTTTTTTGCAGTCCTTTTAAAGCAGAGTTGGCTCCACTAGCATGCTTCAATTTATGAACTTTCATAAAGATAGTTTTCTAGTTAGCATTGTTTATTATGCCTGTCCTGATTTATTAAGCGGCCAATCTTCAGAAGCTTTTGTTCTAATACTTTACTTTACTGTTTATAAACAGTTTTAATATGGTTAATAATATATTTCTTCATTATATATACATAAGGCTTAGGTTATTATATTTTATTAACATATTATGAGCTATTATTAAAAAGAGTAACCAAAGCACATTTTTAAAGAATGTGATTATTATATTGTTTTAATAACAATTTTGATTATCAAATGTTGGAAAAATTGCAATGATACTAAGGAATTTTAAATGCTTTAAGGGGAATGTATCTTTAAAAGGAAATTTTGATATGTCCACTGTGCTTGTAGTTGAAGTTGCTAATGAGGCACTAATTATTTTGAAGCACTATCATTCATCTCATAATCTTATAATGTCTTCAGGAGTGAAGCAAGTTGCAGAACATGGTCTCCAAATACTTTATGATGGGATAGAAACTTATAGCTGGTTGTTAGTCTCCTTTGCAGGGAATAGGTATAGTTATAGTTTATTAGTCTTGTATGCCGCCCACTCCTGGAGGACTCTGGGCGGCTTACAATAAAAAGGGGAAAGGGAATAAATAAGACAAACAACAATTTAAAATACAACAACATTCATAGTTACCGTGGGGCTGGATACTTCAACAGCCCCCGGCCTGCCGGAGCAGCCAGGACTTAGTGGCTTTACGGAAGGCCTGGAGGGTCGTAAGGGCCCGGATCTCCATGGGAAGCTCATTCCAGAGGGCCGGAGCTGCAACAGAGAAGGCTTTCCCCCGGGGGGGCGGATCGCCAGCCGACATTGGCTG